TAATAGGTATTCATTTGGACGAAATGAAACATATTTTAAGAATTATATACTTAAACCCAATAATATTCAATACATATCATGATAAACATAATATATTGGTCAGTCTAGGATCATGCTGGTTTTGACGGACTGATATTTTTGTTAATGGCTAAAATAATTGATATTTTTTTTTTTCATCAGTTAAATATGACAAGAAGATTTACAGTTTAGTATATTTAAAAATATTTCTAGTCTATAGTTTTTTCCCGCTCTCAGCTGATATATTGTATGAGTGATAAAAAATTTGACTAAATCAGATCGGTAGTACTTGGTAGACTTACTGCGTGTATTATATTTTTGACGTGTTTCAATTTTTTCGTGATCGCATCACGTGATCACACACGTCTTGATGTTTAGTGATTTAATAGGTATGCATAAATTAAATATATATACTGTAATATAGACGATATAGACGCAAGTTTATAATAAAGTATATAAAATTGTTATACAATAGTTATTCATATCATAATCATGAGTCATCTTTTGTGTAAATTTAGCCAAACAAAAAAAACAAAATTGTATTTCGCAAGAAATATCACATTCATTTATTAAATAAGTTGTTTCAGAAAAAAAATTCATTTTTTGTGTGTCCTCTTTTGCGTCTTCTCTTTCGTGTCTTCTCTCTTCTCTCTTTTCTTTAAGTATTTTCTTTTCAGTCGTGTCTTCTCATTTATTTAGGTCTTCTCTTTTCTTTAGGTTTTCTTTTTCTTTAGGTTTTCTCTTTTCTTTAGGTTTTAAGAAAAATATAAATTTAGTTATACCATCACCGTCACCAAACAAATACAATAGAACATTGTTTAACTACATTACGTCAACTTCGCATTTATCTGGCTGATCGCAATAAAGAATATTCAATCTGAAATTTGACGTCGTGAAATCGACAAGGTGAAATCGCATAACAGCCATATTGTACTTTTTTTGTCAAATCTTCTACCCAAGATTCCTTCTATCACAGAATTACCCAAAGGTGCAGCAAATATATTCTTCTACTAGTACAGTAAGTTATAACTTTTATACTCATTTTATACTCATATTTATTTTACTGATTACATTACTTATGCATAACATCTATTCTTGATTTGTTAGTCCAAAAAGCTATAATACGTCAAAAATGGTCAAACCGCAAGATTGCCACGAAATTCAGCGATTTCATCTTAAAAATGAACAAATTCTGAGTTTAAATTATTAATTATATCAAATACGTTATAAAAAGGACTCTCAAGTTCGAACTCGCGTGATACATTTAATTGGGATTATCATCACATAATAGAAATTTATAATTATTAATTAAATTATCTTAATAAGAACTATAATATCTAAACTTATGCACAAGCCAAGTTTAGGTCGAAAGTCATATACTGTACCTGAATATATGAAGAGTAGAGCAAAGAGATTTTGGTCATCAAAACAATACATTACTATCTACTATTGCAGCAAAAAACCCACATGCACGAAACTATCCTATGAAATCTATCCTAAATATACTTATCCTGATTTAAAACGATAATACTATTCCTTCCTTCCGGAATTCTTATGAACCTTTTGTCGTCCTTCCATGTTATCCGTATATACTCTCTTCGTCTTGTCCTCTTTTACTAGATATCCGATTATCGCTTCCTTTGTTGGAAACTTGTTTGAATTATAAGGTAGGAAAGCGGGAATTACGTTTTTGTCCACTTTACAGTCCTCCTTTAATTGTTTTGTTAACAAATTCCCAAAATGACGATTATCTGCTGAATCCGTAAACTCTCAGTCTATATTAATGAATGTAGAGCTACAGACTACAGTTTTTATAGTCAACCACGTCCTTCTCTGTCAGAGAATTCTTTTTGTTGAGAGTCTTACGATCGGTTTATCTCTCCAATCCTCGTCTTCGTTTTTACTTTTTTGACTCCTTGAAGTCACGTGATTGCTGGTCTTTCCTTAGAGATCGACCACAATTTTAACGACTTTTTCAGGTCTGACCAACGGACGTATCACTTCTTTCCTTAACTCATTCTCCTTTTTTCTTCCAAATCATCAAGCGCCCATTCAAAGCGGCCGTCTATCTTGTCCGAGTCAACCGTTCCCAACGAATTATAATTATTATGATTCGATAAATTAACAACTCGTTAGGTAATAAGCAAATATAATGTAGTTCAAATATTTCTTTATACATTTCTAAAATTTTCATATCAAAATTGCATGTTAAAGTGTAAAAGCTTAAAAATAATAAATTTCTAGTTCACTTATCATGATTAACTTTTCATAATTTATCACTTCGTCGTAAATATTTTTAGGATTCACGGAACTAAGTTTTCCGAATTTTTTTTTTGATCATGTTCGCTTATCCTTCGTGCTGCAACTATGTTACCCTAGTTCCTCCATTGCTCATTCTCGACTAAAAACAAAATAAGAAATAGAAAAAAAAACTAAAAAGATAAAAAAAATAGACAAAATATATAATAATAAATTGATTATGATAAATGTTAAAACATGGCCAAAAAAAAGTGAAAAAATAATAAATTAATTCACTGTTTCTGCTAATGATGGATTACCTTTAATACGATTTAAAATTTAAGATCGGATAACGGTTTTTCCTGTTACTATTTTTTTCTCGCTTGCAGATGAGTACGCATTCTAGAGTGCATTGAGGCCTAATGTGATAATAGATAATTTCGAAATAATTGAATTTGAGAGATCGTCTTCTCTCTTACAACTCCCTCAGCAAAGTGGCGAGGAAACAAAACAAACGTGACATATCCAATATCCTCATTTTTACTTGTATTTTGTAAATATCTAATTTCTCTCCTTGCTTGAGTATAGTACTTGTGGAGCATTTTGAATAGCTGAATGACGACGTGCATCAACAAATTCCTTAAAAACACCTTGTCAAATATCCTTTAATAATGTAGTAAAGATTACAATGACTCTATCAAATTGGGCCTGAATATAAATAGCTTCCTGATTTCTATAATGAATTTGCATGAGATCAGGTTTTAGGTTGGGTTGTTTTTCATCTTCAAATCGAGCTTGTTGTTCAAATGCACGTTCAAATTTAATTAAAGTTAATTTCTTTACCAGTTCTTCTCTTTGACTTTTATCTTCAGGTAGTTTTTACAAGTTAAATTCTAAAGTAACACCATATCTTCTTTAGGGACACAATATGGGCCATATTCTCTCTGTAACATTTAGATTCTGGAGTTGAAAGATAGTAAGCTACACCATCGAAATCGACTAGTCATATCCAAAGCTGTAGGTTCAAGATTCACAATCAGCTGGTTTAGCGCCTCTTCTTTCTCTTATAACTTTTTTCAGAATTTTGACATATACTATTTCGCTAGATGAAACACTTTCTTTCTTGATTTTCTCATATTATAGGACTAAATTGCAAAAATATCTTATTAATATTTAAAATAAAATTTTACATGAATTTATTAGTAAATAAAACTTCCTCTTTATTATCTTATGCAGTGAAATAAATCAAATAGCAGCACCCCCACTAATAAATCAATTTCTTGTTAAATTTTTTCGTAAAAATTTTTCTCGCACTTTTATTTTTTGATCAGGTTTAACGATCGGAATGATACTGTAAGTGCCGATTTTATTTTATATTTTTTTCACATTAAAATTTTTTTTCATAAGATATTTTTTTTAGCCGTTTTTGTTTTAGGTTTAGATTGAAGCTGTAGTGTATGATTTGAATAAATTATAAAATTCACACATTTTGAGTACTATCACCTGTCACATTTTCAAGTAATTTCCTAAAAGAAATGCGTTTTTATCGCTTTAGTTTTTTCATCTTCTGTAAGAGATTTATCAGCAAGAAGTGTTTGTTTTCGAAATTCAAAATGTTTGTGTATATTATTATAAATAATAGTACATATCTAATAATGCAAATGATCTATTAAGTGCTGCCTGAACTACTTCATTTCGAATATTAGACATGATGCAATCTTATATTATCTTTTTATAAATTAAGAAATTTGTAGAAAAAGAAGGTTTAGTTTCGTTGATCAGCATCCGATTAAATTAGCAGTTAGGTGTAACAAAATATTACACCATCACACTATGGCAGATCAACCACTATATCGGAATTTATTAAAAACGATTGTAAATTTATTAATTTTTTCAATAGTTATATATTTTTTCTCCGAATATTTAATATCATTGAAATCAATAAATTATTGACTTTTTTCCTTGTAAATCTTTTTAATATTCATTTTATTTATTTAATCTCTATAAATTAAGAATACTTTCCTGCATTTTCACCAATATCTAAAAATTTAATATATTTTAATGTTATTTTTTGCTGTACAATATATTGCCTTATATATGAAATAGTTGGTTTAAGCGCTACAAAAAGCTTATTTAAACTATAAATAAAGTATGTTGATAAAAGGGTTACAAATCACAATACTTCATGGCTTAATAATAAACTTTTTTTTTGTGACGATCTTTAATAAGTTTATCCGAATAAATTGCTATAGTGTAATGCCGGAATCATCTAGCAACTTTAATAGTTATGAGGCGTAGTTTTATATTTACATGGTTTAAGTGTATAAATTTATTTTTTATTTTTAGATTTTTAGAATGAGCATGAGTATAAACTGGACATGTGAATAAATAATCGTCAATATTTAAACGAGGCTTAAGAAAATTGAGGCTTAGGAAATTGGAGGCTCAGAGGAGATCAAGAAAATGAAGAAGTTTCTAATTAAGGAAAACAGTTTCATATTTTAGAAAAGTATAAATAAGATCTTATTTCAATTAAAGGAATAAGAATTTTCTTATTTATTATTATATTTTTGATTTATCTTATGATAGAATAATAAAGGAATATTTTGTTAACGACTCAACGTCTCAACGTGGTAAGGAACCCATACCACGGGATTGAGCGTTACAATGGTAGTACAAATTGTGGCGTTTTAATACTCCAACCAACTTATTCGTTTTTAATTTTTTTTTTTTTTTTTTTTTTACGTATTATAATTCTAAAATTACTCACATATATAACGGATTCAAACTGGTTAGTATGGAAAAAAAGCCGAAGAATTTAGAGAAGGAATTTGTTTCTAATAGATATCAGGTAATATTAATATTAATTCATATTAGTTATCATGATAATTTTAGCAATATTATATTTTTAGTTAAATAATATATGTGTATATATATATGATTTTTTTTTTTTTTTAAACATTAAAAGCGTCATGTCATGATTTTTACTGTTAAATCAGAAGATGTGAATTAAAGATTAATTTATATGAAAGAGTTAGAAAAAAGAAAACAAGTATATTGAATATGCGGAGAATGTAATGAACTTAGAACAGGGTGGAAATAGTGTCAACCTTATGATGCTAAAAGATTTAAGGATAACTTTAAAAATGAGACTAGTGGAAATAAAGATATTGACAAATTTATACAACACACAACTTAATGTTATACATCATGAAAAATGCCCTGAATGGATAATTTTTGAAAAATTTCAAAATATCACTTACTATATTGCAGAAGGAGGTTTTAGTAAGATTTATACAACAGAGTGGTCTGAAGGATTATATTTGAAAATCAAAAATGGGTTTAATAAATATACTAAATATAATAAATATGTATTGAAAAGTTTAAATAACTCTTCTGAAATAAGTACAAATGAGGTAATTTAAATTTATTTTGTCTTTTATTTAAAAAGTTGTTATTTGTATTTATTTATTTTTCCTTTTCGACAATCAGGTTAAAACTCATCTTCAGATTTATCTTTATGAGGTTGTTCGTAACTCAAGATCCAAATGCTAAGGAATATATGATGGTCTTATTCTATTGTAAAGATGGAAATTTGAGAAATTATTTGAACATTTCTAAAGATTATATAGATTATGAAGCAGATATTCATAATGCTGGATTTATCCATAAAGGTTTTCATTCGGTAATATATTACTTAATAGTTGGCCAATTATAAGTGATCTAGGAATGTGTCAATCAGCAAATAAGCAAACAGTTAAAGAAGAAGGAATTTATGGAGTATTGCCATATATTGCACAAAAAATTTTATGTGGATATCAATATACAAAAGCGGCAGATATTTACTCATTTGGAATAATAATAATGAACGAATTTCTTTCTAAAGAAATTCCTTTTAATGATATTCCTCATGACGTACTTGTATGTTAAACTTATTAAGTATTTATTTGGGTTAAATTAGTTATGGAATTATAATATATCTCTTTTAGTATCTTTGTTAGTTGTTGATAGAATTTTTAAATATAAAATATGTAACAACAATTTCTAAAGATGTACCAAAATTACTTGCAGATTTGATAATAAAATGTTGGGATGCTGAAATAGAAAATAGAACAGTTCATGTGATGACGCGCATTTTAAATTATACTAAAGCAGAAATTAATTCAATATTTTTTAAAATAATAAAGAAAACTTGATCAATCGATTGGTCGATTATGTTAATAAATTTCGATCGATTAACCTATTGCTAGCCGAAATTATCAGAGTGCGAGCAAAAATTTACTACACGTTACAAATCTTCGATTAATTATTTAGTAAGCACATGATCAATTATATGTGATGGTTAATATTTTTCTTCTGGTCACTAGTTAATATTATTTTGTGAATTAGCCATCGCAATAGGCAAAAGTATTCTTTATTAAAATTAAAGTAAAAAAAAAAATTATTTTTTTCTGTTTCTTATCATCAAAGGAATTAAAATGAACTCATGAATAGTAATAATATATAAATATATAATAGATATAATGGATGAATGATTTAGATTTTAGATAAAGCAGAGAATACGATCTTATCCACTATATGGAATAATATTGAAGAATTAAAACGTAAAGAAATTGTTATTTGTACTTCTGATATGCAACGGACAATTCCCACTTTAAGACGTGTTACGATTTGTGTTACTTGAAAAAAAAATTTTGAAAATTTTTTTAAAACCGATAATTTAAATACTGATGAAAGAAATGATCACGGATTCAATAGAAAAACGTGTACAATTAACTAAACATCTCGTAAATATTGAAATTATCCAATTTGTAAATAAAGATTAAAAAAATATTTATTTTAATTTGTATTAATGATTTATATTATTATTATTTTTTTTTCTTTATTTGAGTTTAACGACTATGCAAAGATTTTATCTTTATATTAATATACAAAAATCGTTTATATAAAACTTATAAATTTTGATACAGTTATTTTTTTAAATTCTTCAGTTATACAATACATGTAATTATTATGTTTAAATATTGAATCTATAAATTAAAAAAAAACTTTTTCAGATATTGTATCATGTAATCTGCGTTATTTTGCGATATTTGAGATATTTGAAACAGAAATTCCTGACAAAATCTAAATCCCAAAATATCATACCAGGAAGTTTATAATCTTGATAATAAAAATCCTGATACTTTTATAATACTGAAATACAAATCCAAGGTTTATAAAAATTTCATAATCCTAAATTCCATAAGAAAAATATCAGTATATCAAATTATCATTACATTATGAAAATTTTATTTATAAAAGCGTGTAGATTAGTATCGATATAAAAATTTTTGTATAAAGTTACGATATATTTAGCTTGAAGATAAGAATACCGAAAGCCTGTGTGATGTGTCAAGCTTCAATCGTAGCATTATTTTAATAAATTTGTTGATCGTACTGGTAAAAATGATAACTGATAAGCAAGTGGAATTTCATTTGATAATAATGTAAAAAAGTCATATTAAGTATTGTGCGTAATAAATAAGGGGTTCAAATAATCAATGAATTTATTTTATTATCTTTTTCATTTATTATTTATATTCAAAATTTTTAGTATTACTCATTGATGATTTAAACAATGAATTTAGCTTTAATAGTTAAATTTGAAGGAATAGCCATTTTATATTAAATGTGATTCTTAAGAAATAAATAAATAATAGGACGAGGAAATTTTAACACACATTATAGTTTGATTCAATAATTTCATAATTAATTATTAGCCATACAAATATTAAGTTAACATTTTAATCAAATAACCGTGATTCTACTGATTTTAAAAAATAATAATCAGAAACTATTTAAGACAGCCACTATTGAGGTTAAATGAAATTAATTCAATTTTTTTTTAAAAAAAAAAAATAATAAATATTTCAAAGAAAACTAATTTTTTGATCAATCAATTAATCGAAGTAAAATTCTTGAAACTTATTTCCGTTATATAATAATTTTTTCGTATTTCTCCAAAAAGAAAAAAATAAGCCGCAGCAGATCGGATTAAAAACTGAAGTTAATCTTTTCTTCGGTCTTTTTCTTAAATTGATTTTACATTATTATATTTAATAGTAATTTCGATTTACTTTAAATTAAATAAAATAAACAAATTTTACCAATTTAGTATACTCTGACTAATGAGTATCCTCTGTAACTTACGGCGGTTTATTTTTTTTTTGTGGCAAGTCTAGTTGATTTATTTACAACGGAAATCTTTATTTATAAAGTTCAAATATTAGAAAGATGTGACGTATTAGAAAGCTGTGACGTTAACTAGATTTAAAAAAAAATTTTATTACTACATTTTTCCCTCCACTATGATAATTTTGGCCAGCATTAATTTAATCGATCTAAATTTACCTAACATGATCGCATTTTTCCTGTATTTGTCTAAGTTTGGCCTAAATCTCCTTGTGTAACTATTATTTTAACCATTTCGGGTTAGATTTATTCTCTTTTATAAATTTCGTGAGCAACTGCTGATCATAAAAAGAAATTTTTGAATACAATAGTAGTACAAACAGTAATACAAATACGCAATTTATTGACAATTTTTTTCTTTCGCTACAATAATTCTGAATTTATTTCGAGTAACAGCTATTTTCTTATATAACTTAAATTATAATTATAATTCACAGCTCGGGTAAATTAATATGGATGAAAAGCCAAAAAATTTATGGAAGTATGTTGATGAAAATGAATTTCATGTAATAGAAAATTAATATTTTTAATAATTATAATTATTTTATTGAATTTTTGTAATTAAAATATTAATAATTATTTATTTATTAAAGATTTATGTTGCAATTTCTACTGTTAATTCAACTACTGAAGAAAATGTATATGAAAGAGTAGTTTATATAGAAGATTTGGAAAAAAGAAAACAAGCATATGGAATATGTGGAGAATGTAAAGAACCTGGTACAGGAGAAAATTGGTGTCAATCTTGTAATTCTAAAAGATTTAAGGATGACTTTAAAAATTGGACTAGTGGAAATAAAGTTATTGATGAATTCATACAACAATCACAACTTAATGCTGTACATTTTAATAATTATATTGAATGGATACCTTTTGAAAAATTCCAAAATATTACTTATATTGCAGAAGGTGGCTTTGGTAAGGTTTATTCGGCTGAATGGCCTGAAGGATTTATTGAATATTGGGATATTGAGAATCAAAAATGGTATAGAAATAAATATTTTGGTAAATATGCATTAAAAAGTTTTAATAATTCTTCTGATATATGTTCAGAATTTTTAAATGAGGTAATTTAAAACTTATTTTATCCCATATATAAAGTTTGTTATTTGTATTTATTTATTAATGAAATTTTCCTTTATGATGATAATTAGATTAAATCTCATCTTCAGATTTATCTTTTTGATATTGTTCAATGTTTTGGAATTACTCAAGATCCAAATAATAAAGAGTATATGATGGTTTTAGATTATTATGATAATGGAACTTTGAGAAATTATTTAAATAAATCCAAAAATTATATAAATTATGGAACAAAAATTGATAAATTACGACTAATTGCAAGAGGACTTTTAGATATTCATAATGCTGAAAAAGTTCACAAAGATTTTCATTCAGGCAATATATTACTTAATTATTCTCGTCCATTTATAAGTGACTTAGGAATGTGTCAACCAGCAAATTTACAGCAATCAGTTAAAAAAGAAGGAATTTATGGAGTATTACCATATATGGCACCAGAAGTTTTACGTGGATATCAATATACAAAAGCAGCAGATGTTTACTCATTCGGAATAATAATGAACGAATTTCTTTCTGAAGAAATTCCTTTTAATGATATTCCTCATGACGAATTTTTAGCTATTAAAATATGTAAAGGACTTAGACCAACAATTTCTAAAGATGTGCCAAAGTTACTTGTAGATTTGATAATAAAATGTTGGGATGCCAAAATAAAAAATAGGCCAACCACTAAAGAATTGTATCAACTGTTAAAGAAATGGTATGATGAAATTAAGTATATTGATAGTGAAGATGGTGAAGATGGTGACAATAGTAAAATATATTTTCAAATAAAAGAATATGATAAAATTAGAAAAGAAAAATTCAAAAACAGGTCAATTGAAGATAAACCCAATAGCTTCCAAACACACCCACAAGCATTTTATACTAGTAGACTTTTAAATTTCAAAAATCTTCCAAAACCAGTAAATTCTTCGGAGTTATCATCTTTTCAATTTAGTTCAGGTAATTTAATTTAATTTCGCTTTTGCCTTATCACCTCTTTTATCATACTACGGCAATCCATTTTACATTATTAATCTTATTTTATTTTTTAATAGATACTAGTTATACTGCTCAATCAACATCAGCAAATCCGAGTAAGTATTCTCTTAATTATTATTATTATCATTTTATTTACATTTGTTAATATATAAATACTTTAAATACATAATATGCAGTTTCGGAATGCTTGGATGTTCAATTAAGTGAATTAGGTAAGTTATTATTATTCATAATTTTATTTATATTCCCTATCTAATTTATTTTTTTTTATAGAACTAAACGAAATTTGTCAAGATAGTGAACATAATATCGAATGAAGTTTCTTTCTATGAGTGCGTTGAAGTCCAATAGTTTTAAATTACTAATTTACATGTTAAGTTTATTACTATTTTTTTTTCATTTATGTTTTAAATTTTTTTATTTACATTTGTTTATAATATAGTACATATAGATTTATTGGGTAAGTATACCTATTTAAATAAAGATTTTTTATGCTTATTTGATGAATTTATTTGATTGTTTAAATGTAAGTTTGTAATATATTTGCAATTACCAATATTCCACTCAATGTATTCTTATATTGCTTTGCTCAATGAATATATTTATAATTAATAATTGATTATAGTGTAAAAATCATATTAATTATTGGTAGCTGATGACCTTCAAAAGTGAAACCGACTTAACTGATGGTTTTAACAGAATTATAATTAAAACAAAAAACCAGCGTTGTTGAAATAGAGATCTGAAACATAAAGTTTTAACAAACTAATATTTAAATTTTATTATAGCTTTAACAATTGCTAAAACTAAAATCAAAAATGTTAAATCAATTTTAACATTTGGTTTCAGTTAAGTCGGCATCACTACCCATGATCAAGATATAAATTCCAAAATTTATTCTTCATTGGACAATAATAATTAGGTCAGTTGAAACAAATTTATTCTATCTTAATTTTTCACCTATTAAACTTAATTTTATTATTGTAGATGATGTCAGATTCTGAAGAACCATCATTAGCGAGTTCTACGAGACTTAATGTTGAACCAAAGATGTGACTGATAAAATTGAATGTGATACAAATGATCAGGATCAATGAAATGAAAACTGCTCTAGTCTAAATGACGAAAATCAAATTTGAATTCTAAGAAGGGTAAGTAAAGTTACATATGATACTTATGAAGTAGGAAGATATTTATGCAATTTATAAAATATTTAAAGAACGTATTGCATCAATAGTATCAAATCCGTAGTGTTATTTATATATTGTATTTTGTACAATATAAGAGAAAAAAAGAATTGTTTGTCTTCTGTTGCACGAGATGATAATATCATAGAAAATTGATAAATCTCCTAATTTGATAATGTTGATCATCAACACTGCTCTATCGAAAAAAATATTGCAATCAATAATATTTAAATTTTTAAATATATTGACGTTCTCTTAGCCAATTATGCCCGATATTGATCAGTACAAAGCCAATGCTCGATTTTTTTTATCGTTATATATAACATTAAAACATACAACAATAAAATGAACATTTAAATTAACTAAACGTCAAAAAGGTCCAAAACTTCTGATCACTACTTTTTTGATCCTGATCAAAAGATCGTCACTAAACATGACGTAAAAAACCACTAGCGGATGTGATGATTTTACTTTATGAAATCCTTTTATTAATTGAATTTTCATCATACAGGACAGACATGCGACATATATGCGACATAATTTTATTTATTTTCCCATAGCTTGAAAAAAAAATTTCTAGAATGTACAAAAAGTAGACTGCTTACATAAGCGAATTTAAAAATATTAAAAAGGAAATATTTTTTTTTTTTACTGTAAAATTATTCGATCCGGAATCAACTAATCCAATTTAATGAAAATTTACCTTAATCGGAATTTTTTTGATTATTAATTTTTTTTGTCCGATTTTTTTTTTCAAACCAAAAATTTGTTTTTTCTCATTCTTTTCCCGTTTATGTTTAATTTTTGGTCTTTTAAGACTGACTTTTTTTATATTATTTTTTTTTCGATCTTTTTTTTAGTATTTAAAAATCTTTTTTTCACTCTTTTTGGACTGAAATATTTTCCTTTTTTTTCAGAATTTTTCCGGTACTTATTTTTTTATTTCGGATTCCTTTTTTTGGAAATTTCTCTTTTTTAAACCGATTTCTTTATCCTTTTTCTTTCCCCAAATTTTTTTTTTAATTTTTTTTTCTTTTTTTTATTATTACTAAATAAAAAAATAAAACATTATATTAAATATATTTACAAAATTATTATAACATATAGGTAAATTGACTGTTGATAGAAAGATGATTAGATTTTTTCAATTAAATTGGACGCTGGATAAATAGTTTGATTCATAAAAATCAAAAAAAAATTGATATTTTTACAATAATATTTTATATTTAATTAATTGAAGAAATTGTTGATTTAATAATAGATTATTATAACCAAATCCATATCCGAAATTCTCTAAATAATCACCAGATTTTCAATAATAAAGATTTTAATTCAAATGGTTTAGTTAAATTAATAATTTATCGAGTAAAATAAGTATCAAAGAATAGTAATAAATAAAATGAACAGATTCTAATACATTTAATTGTTCAAATATTTTTCCTAAGTTAGTTATAAGTTTAAGATTGACGTAATATAAAATAATAAGAAATAATTATAAAATTTATAATTACTAATTAATAAAAATATTTGTAATATTTTCGTAATATTAAAGTTTTTTCGAAAATAATAATTCTAAATAATTAATCAATTTTATTGATAATAATTTTTATATACATATTATTTTATTAATTTTTGTTAACTATATTAAATTTCTAATTATAAACAAAAACTACTGTAACCATCTTTAATTGTCCGGAGCGAAGCGAAGGACAATATATGTCTACGAACTATGAAAAAAAATCGATCACGTGAGTTTCTCTGTCCGCCACGTGATCGTCACCCAATGAATCGGCAAATTTTAGTTTTTCGTTCCGGACTTACAACGGTTCCCGTTTCCTAGTTTACTTAGTATTACATCATAATACTGAATTTTTATATTTAAACAAACTCATTGGTCCCGATGCCCGCTAGTTTATTTACTATATATAAAGGATTCTGAAGTATGCTAACGTGTTGTATAACAATATGACAATTGACAAGTTTGTGAAACTTTATGGTACGGTTGAAAAATTGCATCATGAATTAGAGGAATTAGAGAGTAAATTTTATTTTAATTCATTTTATACAGTAATTCTGCGAATTTTTTTTATTTTTTATTTATTTATTTAGGCCCCTCTATGTATAAAAGGCTAATTTCACAATGCAACAAATAACTGTTTTATTAATATTTGCGTTTATTATAAATTTTCACTAAGTTTTGGATCAGTTCATACGATTGCTGATTCTTATTCTTAGAACATGGATTACTCAACGAAGCCTACATATTTTTGAAAAATAATCTTTTTTTTTGTATACATGTTTCACGTTTTTCGTATATCTCAAATTTCAAATAAGGATCATGAAAATTAATTAAAATGTAAATAGTATGTAAATGATTAATTATGATAAAGAAACTGAATTGCAACGAAAAACAAAAATAAAAATTAAAAATTACTAAAAAACAAATAATTCTATGGCATCCTTATAAGGGAACAATTATCTAAGTTGCGCAGTTGAAAACTTTACCATAATAAAGAAAAATATCACCGCACGTTTATGGATTACTGCATCCGCTTTACGTTTATAAGTTCCTGCATCCGTGTTACGTTTCTTGCATCTGCGTCACATTTTCACCTTCTGCATCCGCTTCACGTTCACAAACTGGCGCACTTGCGTCACATTTAAATATTCCTGCAGCATCTGCGTCTCCTTTCCACTTATATACTCTTGAAGACATACATTTTTTATCCTTTATTTGAAGTAGCTTCTTTCCTTTTATTTTTTAAGCTTACAAAAAACACATAAAAGTATATTTTTGAGTTTTGAAAAAAGATTGACTAGTTGTCATTAGTTTTGGACTAGTAAAATTTTCATTTTCTTGCTTGAGTAGGGAAAAGACACCAAGCAGACATCTCTTCGCAGTTTTAACTGGGATTTTCTTGGTTATTACTTATGACTTTTCTCTTTTTCAATCTTTCTTTGGGTAGGAAGCATTGGAAAATTGATTAACATTTGGTGACTTGGTGATTTTTCTAAGCAGAATAGAGAATAGAACAAAATTTTCAACCAAAAATTATGGTAAGAGCCGGAAATAAGAGAAGATTTTGCGGCACCCTTGTTATAATTTAACCATTAAATTATAATGATTCAGTATCCTGAGATGACGCGTGTGTTATCAGTAAGGAACAGGTCTCTTACTTTGTTCTACTTTCATCTTTATCACTTTAAATACAGGAGAAGTGGTAGAAGCACGAAAAATTTGCTGTAGAAATAAAAGTAAAAGAGAGTTAGCTTTTGCTAAATACTCTACTTCAGAATTTCGTCCCGCCATCTGGTAGGGTGACGTGAGGCAGTATCCTTCTAAAGTATCAGGTAATATAACGAAGCAGTACGGATCTTCTTCCTATATATTAGTGTCGATATTTTCACCGTCCGTTCCTGAAAACTGCACAATAAAAGGTATAGCTACGAGTATCTGTTTGAAAGAACTTACAAAAACACAGCTTTAGGTTATTGAGTTCTTTCACTGACATCTCTCCTGGACACACAGATGATATGTTATCATCCAGAAATTCTGAAAACAGAGAAGGACGTTCACAGTAAAACTGTGGCCACGAAGCGCTTCCAGTTCTCTGAATCCAAAAGTCCTCAATGAGAACAAATC